TTAGAGCATTAATATACATAACAGTTTAGTGCCACATACGTGCATATATTGTACACTTAATTAGCACATACAGTGTACACACATACATGGTAGTCTCTTTACCCTCATCCCTTCCACCCCCAACCTCAAATTTAACTGTTCAACTACAAACCCCCAAGAGTAAGCATGCAGTTTCCTAGGTATGTGTTACTGCTACTTTTGCTTAGCTAAATGTGGCACGACATGCAAGATGCCTCCACACAGTACATAATCTTTAGCTGATATACAAATTTACTGCCCACTTATAAAAAAATATATAAACCATTCCTTTCAGTTAAAGAGTTGCCATTCAGTTAGACTAACTCATGATCTGTGGGAAGTTATCAGCCTTGACTAATGCAAGACTGCAAGGGCAGACAGTTGTAGTGGCAAAACACGTGTGATACCTATAGTCATTATAACATCTAACTGATACTCAGACAGCTGCTTGCCCTACTACTTTCTAGATCTGCCCCTGCTCAAGTGTGGCAGGAATAGCCCTCCTTGTGCAAATAAAAAACTAACCAAATGCCTGCTAAACATCCAATGTCACACTAGGCAGTTTTCAAATCATCACAAAGTCAGTTATTCTTGTATCCATTGTACTGTTACCTGACGCAGATTCCTGGTTACTTTCACATCATGCCAGGCATTGTCATTAAATTTCCCATTCACAGGTTCCACCAGCGCTTCAAAGGCCCCTGAGCCCAAATTAATGACCAAGGAGACAGCTCCGTTTTTCAGTGCAAGATTGACATAATCAGCCGATTTTCCTGTGTGAAGCATCAGTCCATTCCTCTGAAGTGTTTTAAATGACAGAGTTATTTCATCACTGCTACTTTGTATAGGATTCTGAGATAAATCATAGCAGAAGTATTCTGATCCCTTGAACGTCGCAATGTATTCTTCTTTTCCTGACAAACAAAAGGAGAGAAACAAACAAATAAATCACTGCAACTTGCAGGAATTATTTTCAGAGCTAGTTTAACAGTATTCCTGTAAGTACTGTATAAAGAAGTAATTCATTTTAAACACTTGAAACCCATGAAGGAAAAAAGATCTACTATGAACTTGTTTTAAACTATATTCCTATAGAATTTTCATGGCTATGATTAAACTAAAAAAAAATACACGGCATCAGCAGTTGTGTGAATGTTATTTAGGCACTCTCATCTACAACCCATCTAAGCACAGAACATTCTGGTGAATGCACAAACCAAAGCATTATTCCAGTGAAAAAACACATCTTTTCCTTCCCAAATCTCACTAAAACCATGACACCTCAAAAAGAAATCAATAATCCAGATCTCTCAAAGTGCACTGGCCTGAGCTCTTGAAGAAACCAACACTACAAACCATTCACTGAAGAATCTACAAAGCTGCACATAGTGCCATGATGGAGAGCAAGTCAGCATGCACAAGTAAACAAAAAGGTTTTCCAGATGGACTTGTTACTAGCCCATGCATGTCATACAGGTTGTTTTTCTTAGTTTATCCTGAAGGTGACCAAGAAACACTAATATCAGTCTAGTGAGACCCTCCCCCACAATCCCATGTCAAGCTCTGGAGGAAACAACCCAAGATGGATATGGAGATGTTGGAGTGAATCCAGAGGACACTGCGGATATCCTGCAAGGGCTGGAGCACCTCTGCTCTAGAGACAGGCTGGGAGAGCGGTGCTTGCTCAGTCTACAGAAGAGAAGGCTCCTTAAGGGGAGACCTTAGAGCAGCTTCCAGTGCCTAAAAGAGCTGACAAGAAAGCTGGAGAGGGGCTTCTGACAAGGGCCTGTAGGGACAGGACAAGGGGGAATGGCTTTAAACTTAAATAGGAGAGATTGACATGAGACATTAGGAAGAAGTTCTTCCCTGTGAGGGTGCTGAGGCCCTGGCACAGGTTACCCAGAGAAGCTGTGACTGCTCCATCCCTGGCAGTGTTCAAGGCCAGGTTGGACACAGGGGCTTGGAGCAACCTGCTCTACTGAAAAGTGTCCCTGCCTGTGGCAGGGGTTGGAACTGGATGAGCTTTAAGGTCTCTTCCAACCCAGACCAGCATGTGATTCTGTGACCATCTTTAACCAATGCTATGCAGCCTGCAGCATCCACTTCTAATTTTTGAACTCTTTCCTACTCGTTTAGCTTCAGTAAGAATTTCCATGATATTCAGCTATGTCACCGAAGAACTGTGGTATGTCTAATCATCTTTCATATAAAATGCCTAAAAAGTGTTAGATAAACTGTAGTTCTTCCCTCCACCTTACTATGGTACCTCTCACTGGCAAGTGAACTGCTCAAAATCAACTTGTGTATGCAGCTTCCCCAAATTCAGTGGGGAAAGACCCTATCTCAGGCATTTCTGGAAAGAAATCATTAACATGGGGTTTAATTTAATCACAAATTTCAGCAACAGAACAGTACAGAAATTTTGAATCTGAAGTTGAGGAGTTTGATGATTTTTTTTTTTAAGTTACCCTGAAGCATTCAGGTTTTAAACAAGTGACTTAGATCTAGCACCAAACTAGCATTCATTTGCTTCAAAAATGGCTTTAAACTGAAAAATAAAAAGCCAAAACTGAGCATAACATTTCACTTCTGAGAAATACTTAGGTTGAAAAACCTGAACACTGTGGGTAAAAACTAATTGCACACTTTTCTTGCCAAACTATGTTCTTTTCTCACCTGCCAAGGCAAATAATGGACATTTTTGGTATTTTTACCTTGTAGCATTGAGTTTCACATATTTGCTCTTCAGAATTCATTGCAAGACTACGATACAGACCCCCTACCAGGACAGTGTTAGTGTGGGATGCTAGAGCATCAGAACATGAACCCTTATCAGGTAGGTCACATCCATACCTCTGGTAACTGGGAGAGGTTCTGATCTGACAGCACTATGCCCCTGGGTTGCAGAGTCAAGAGACAAACCCTCTTCTGAGGGATTCAAGACAACATCACCTTCCAAACTTCCAGTTGTGTAACTATGGGTACCCTGCCTGAATGGCACAATTTGTGATCCAGATTAGCTCCATTTCAGCCATTTCATTTGCCATTTAAATTATAGTAATTATGGGCTGCTAAAAGGCTGCTGAAAGGCCAGCTCAGAGGAGTACAAGGACATCCAGGAGCTCATCTGTCATGGCTTGTGATCCTGAAAATCTCAGCATCTCATTTTTAAATAGGGATCAAGCTTTACCAATAACTCCTCCAGGCAAGCTCCAGCACTTCCCTTTTTCTCAGTAGTTACTACATTTTCAGTAGAACTCATTAAACTGAGATTTCTGATGTAAATGGCTTTTAGGAAGCTAAAGCTGAAACACCAAAATGATTCAGCGACATTTGGATATATTGGGAAATTCACTTCTGGTGCAAGAGTTAAAAGAACTTTGACTTTTATTCTGATGAGTTTCACTGTGAAAGAAAGAAAGAAATGTCTGACAGACAAAAGGTCACAGGGCTTGACTGAGCAGCTAATGAGACAGTCTGCAAACCAAGCTAGAGTCATCTCATTTTCCAGTAGGTGCTGCCTGCTAAGAACTACAACAGTTTTGAACAGGCATCTGACAGCTGAAAATACTCTTTTTGGTATTACAGAATAGTAAATCCTGAAAACTTCCGGTTTCAAATGACTGAAGGGAAATTAAGTCCATGATATCTTCTACGAGGAAGTACTGCAAAAAGTATTTCCTTATAATGTGACGATATCTCCATAGCATGAATAGAAATAATATCTATGAAAATACTCTAAACTGGCCAAACTACACATAATACATAAATTATTTGAAGGGCAGGGAGGTAGTAATAACCAGGATTTAGAGTAATACATTCCTCACAAAAAAATTAAAACTTCCTCTTGTGGTCACTTGGATGCAACCTCAGACATCTTTGCCCTCAATATGGCATTGATGTTTGGAATGTGATTAGACACTGCAACTGCAATACTACCTGAAATGCTAAGACAGAAGGTAAACCAGCCACAGCTCTGACACTGTAGGGTTTCAGTACAGCCTAGCAAGGATTCAGAAGAAAAGAAAAAACAAACAAGAAAAGGAAAGCAGGTTGCAAAGCTTTATTGTGCTTTGCCACTGAAAAAATAAACAGGGACATCCCTGGCAGTGCTCAAGGCCAGGATGGACGAGGCTTGGAGCAACCTGCTCTTGTAGAAGATGTAGCCTTCTAGTGGAAGGTCTAGTGGAGGCAGTTGGAACTGGATGAGTTTTAAAGTTCTTTCCATCCCAAACCAGTCTGTGGTTCTACAATTTCTAGCAGACAGAGCAGGAGCCACATAGAAGCCAAAATGGTTCGTCCATCAGCCGCAGGACAGAAAGCCACGAGGCAATACTGGAAACCATCCCTGTATCAACTCTCTAATACCACACAGATGTACTATTTTACTCCATATGAAGGCATGTATTTAGATTGGACAGATTGAAAAATATCTAAAACACTCAAATGTTTTCTGTAAAGAAGCAGTTATAATCTATTGCTCCATTTCATACCATAACTTTTGTTGATTTTCTAAAGTGAATTAAGAACAGGCTTTATTAATAAGCAGTTGTGCACACTGCTGGTTGTTTGTTTTTTCAAATTATCACTTAATGATACTTAGAGAAGCCATTAAAAATGCATGGCAGTCATTCTAGCCAGTATGAAGTGTTGCACTTCATTTAATGACTAAAATGTAATTACCTGCATAGAAAAGCACAAGATAATATGAACACCAACAACTGAATTTAACATGGCTTTGTTCTGAATTCTGAGCACTGTAAACTATTGTATATTATAGCAGTTACAACCCTGAAGAATGGATAATTCAGCAGTACAGAAAGATGTGATCTCTTTCTGTCACACTGACACAAGAAGCATGTTCGGTTAAAGTATCACTAGTGTGCAAAGGGTCTATCTCCTATTTTCCTACTTAGGATTTGCCCTGTTCCCCACTGAAGTCAGCAATAGTTTCAACATTCACTTCTTTGGAGGTTGATTTAAGTCCTTAGAATCTGATTCAATGTCCAGAAGAAATACTTGCACAGGTCTCAGCAAGCTGTACAGTGCTACGTAAGCACTATGTTAAGCTTTACAGCATATTCTCTGTTAAATCAGAGAATAGGTCTGGCTGATGCCTTAATAATTCGATCATGTGTCCACACCTGATGTACTTCACATGCATGTGACTGGATGCTCTGGTCTTAACAGGTAGTAACAATAATGGGACCATACCCTCTCTGGACACTTCAGTGTGAGTCAAAGCTAGCTACAGAAGACAGGAGTCTTAAAATAAGTTTATTAACTAAATTCCAAGGACCCACATCATGTGACAACCTAATCTATTATTATATAAAAGTGTTGCTGAGCACTGTCAATTTATCTGTCTATGTGCCAAAAGAATTCCTTTCAAAGAGAAAATAAGTTGGTACCAGCGATACATAAGAGCCAAGTTCCTTCTGTTCAATCTTCAGAACATTATACGCAGATTGAATGAATAAATTATGCCAAACCAGAACCTACTATGTTCCCAGATGTACTGTTTGGTGCTCTGTTTCATTGCAATTTAAACTTCAAACATTTATCCATTACTGTATCTTCTTATTTATAAAGTTTTTCTGAAAAGTAATGCAATGCAACCAGGGAAGACCACACCAAACAGCATGTAGACAATAAAACAAGAGAGCATGAACTCCTTCTGTAGTAAACATGAATTGGAAACTTAACAGCAAAGGGAACACTCACTGCACAGGGGGTGTGCCACTGAAACTAGAATGGTCTCAGGATGCATCACACACTTCTCAGTACACTGCTCTTCCAGGAGGCCAGGCTGTACCCTTCCATAAACAGATCGCTCACCAGAACTTAAGATAAAAAGCTATAAACACTATAAAGTCTTGTTCCAAATTTATACCTGAATTTGACCTTAAT